AGAGAGAGAGAGAGAGAGAGAGAGAGAGAGAGAGAGAATGAGGGGTTCACTTCAAGAATAACACTTAGTGGAGTTACTCCACTTAATAATAACCCATACACTACACTAAATTTCAATGATTTAACCATTAGATTAAATTTTTATGAAATAAATCAAGTCTACATTTTCTTTTACAAAATTTTAAAACTATTTTGATAGTTAGTTAAATTAATTCAAATAACTATTAAAATTTAATTAATAAATAATTATAATAAATAAAATTGAATTATATAAATAATTAAAAAAATATTAACAACTTTCTTGTTAAAAAAAGTTCTTAATTAAAAATATTCTCATATAAGATAAAGATTTATATTTAATATATAATGATTAATTAGAAATTTGAAAAAGTAAGTTTGGTGTTGCTTTGGAAGCAACGGACATTTAGTCAAAAATGTGATTCAATTCAATGTAAAAATAAATAATTTCAAAACAAATAGATGTGACATTTGAAGAAAAAAAATGTAGATTGTGTAAACAACAAAGCAAACACATTCTTAATTTGAGAGTAGAGATTCACTATAAAATATCAAATATTCATTCCTTCTCTTTTCGTTGAGTAACCTCACATTATAGGAAGATAGGAATTTTAACACTTTTCCTTTTTTCTTCTTATTCTTCTATATCAGATATTTAAATTCTTTAAACATCTTTATTAGAATTTAGTTTTTAATTGTGAGTATAAAATGTTTTTATAAATGAAGGTACATTAAATTATTCTTTAACTATCGATTAATAAAATGATAGTTAAAAGCAGATAAAAACCAATTTGGTCAAAGAAGTTCATGGGATGCTGGAGCATGGCATGGCACTCCATAATGTGATCCATCCAAATATTCATACCAACCAAGAAACCAAATTACTGCTATTGAGATTAGGGGTGGGTATATGGACTTGAGTTCGCGGACCGGTCCGTAAGTCCGCGGACTTCACGGATAACGAGCCCATGTTTTTTAATCTGTATAATCATACGGGCTTTTTAGGTCCGGCCTGTTAAGTCCGCGGATTTTGCGAATTTAATCCGTGAGCCCGCGGATTACCCGTTTAAATGTGGACTTACAAATATTTTATGTTTGTTTTTAAGATATTAATTAAGACTTTGATGTTTTAAGGTATTTAGACTTTGATGTACTTGCACTTACAAATGTTTTATATTTGTTTGGTTGTGTATTAAGACTTTTAAAGTTTTAAGGTAGTAAGGCTTTAATATTTGGTTAATAGTTGGTATGCTTGGACTTTAAATTTTAAAGGCATTGAGACTTAAATATTTCTATTAGAAATTTAGAATGTGTAAATTTTGTTATTTAAGACTTTGATTTATTATTTACAATGTTTGATGTTATTATTAGAAGTATATTTATATCATTTTATATGTTTTTTTTCTCATGTTTTCATAGGTTAAATAAAGGAAAAGAAATTCAAAATCTGAGTCAATATTCATTTAAACAATTTAGATTTAATTGGGCCCGCGGACTTATCCGTTTATCCGCGGGCTTCACAGACCGGATACGGACTTGAAAATTTAAGTCCATTTATTTCGCGGACCGAATTTATCCAGCCCATTAAAAATGCAGACTTCGCGGACCGGGCCTTAAACGGGCCGGACCGGTCCGCATACCCACCCCTAATTGAGACGTTGGATGTATCATGTATGTGATTGGTTTTATTATTTCCATTTTATTCACTGTCCATTTTTCTATCACCTATATTATTTTATGCGGATATATATAATTCAATATGAACTTACAAAACGTCTAATATAAAGGCTTATTTCAGTAAAAGTAACTGATCAGAGGAAAAATTCCTAACAAAATATATGGGTACGAATTTCCTCTTCGTTCCATTATGTAATTTCTCTTTTTTAAACAAAATTTAAATGTTTTCACAGAAATTATAATATATAAAAAAATGCTCCAAACCTGATAATACTAAATCCATAATGATGTTGTAGGTCCAGTCCATTGTCGAATAGGCCCAAACAAACCATGGGAACTTACACATGTGCAGAATAACAACCCTAAACAAGACCTTTCCTCTTCTCATAATTCAAGTTTTTTTAATAATAAAATCAAAATTATATATATTGACTCTTTTTTTTCTTTTTCTTTTTTTATCAAAACAAAAGATATAAAAGATCGTGAAAAAATGGTATGCAGAAACATTATCCTCAAGAGAAATGCATATTGCTTAAGTTAAATTAATCTACAATTTTATGTAATTCCATTAAAATAATTTTTGTTTTCTTGTCAAGACCATATATGTACTCTTCCTGAAAAACTAAAAGGTACGTCTATTTGAGTCAGAACTGTCAAAGAGGAATTATAAAAATAATTTCTCTGCATTGAAGAGTTAAACAGACACCATGCTCAGAGGGAATTATATATGCATTACATAGATGAACCACTTGTTATTATTAGGTTCTCATACTTTATTCAGGTATTATTAATTTATTTAAGCTAGTAAGTTGATTTGAACCTATAATTTTTTTTTAATTCCTGCTATATATTAAATTTATTCTAATATAAGTATTTATGAAAAAAATTATCCAAATTAAATTTAAATTCTTTGAAAATAACATTACCATCTTTGAGTGTGCATCTCGGTGATTGTAGATTCTGTTTTTAGTCTAAAATGTAAATTTTAAAAGATGCTTAACTAAATTGGTATTCAAATGATTTTTAATTCGATTTTAAAACACTTTATCTCGATTCTAAAAAGAAAAAATAGTTTAAACTTTTAGTTTTTAATTAGCAAAGCAAATAATTTAACTCTCATAAAAAAAAAATATCACTATCATTATTATTATTACTAATCAATTATTATTTTATCATCAATATCATTAAAAATTATCACTTTTATTATTATTAAAACCACAATTACTGCTACTATCTTATAATCTAAACAAATCACTAATCAACATAAGATCGATGTGACTACCATCACTTCTAATATTAACACTGTTATTGTCGGCATAATCATTAATTACTACCATGTTGGTTATCACTATTAATATGAACACCATTTTTATTGCTACAAGTTCATCCGTGCTTCCATACTACATGTCCGTCACGTCTCACCATCACTTTCATCAATAGACAAACTTAAAATCACCATTGAAGGTTGCTTGGCAAGAATTATTCAAGAGAATGACCAAATAATTTTTTTTTGTTTCTTTTGGTACAAAAATATATAATTAAAGAGAATCGCTTTCATTCATTATAAGGTGACCGAAGTTTACTCTTCTCAACATCAAACCATAAATGAAGAAGTTATCGGCCGCATAACTATATAATACGTTGGATTGGCGAACACCTCATATATATATGAAATAACCTTTTTTTTCCTACTTCCTTCTAGCATAAATTGAAAAATAAACTATTATCTTCTTACAATAAATTAATATATTAGCAACGAAATTTTAATTAAAAGATTTTGAACCAAAAAAGCTTAATTATAAACATAACGAAATTTTAGGGATTAAAAATTTGAAAATAAAGTGCATATATAATTAGAACCTAAGTTCAGGGTTCACTCTTACATAGAAATAGAAGGCAAAATAGAGCGGCAAAATATATAGATAAGCTACAAAATATACCCTTTCTTAGCCACAATATAAGCATCGTGACAAATAAGAAGAGGTAGGGTTAGGGAAGAAGGTGATCCTACAACATCAACTTTGAAATATGATCAGCACTTAGGAAGATCAGACGGCGGAGGAGGCAACTTCTGATGAGAGAGTTCGCCGTCGTTCACAATCCAAGCCATCCTCAACCCCCAACTCATGTGCACATCGATGTGGCAGTGCATCAGCCAAACACCTATTAATATTTCACACACATGTAACAAAATTCTGTGTTTTTTTTATATTTGTTTTGGACCAATAAAATAAGGCGATTCCTTGCGTGCCCTTTGTGAGTAGAGGGTTTTGGTGCCCTTTGTACGGACAGCGAATCAGGTGATGCCACGTGTTCCTTTACTCCATGTCATCCAGCATGTTGAAAGTTTGACCAGAAATTGGGTAATTGGATCTGATCCGCCCCTGCACCATGATCCAACAAACCAACCTGGGTCCCTAGAATCATTTTGAAAATTTGGATTCTAGGGGATCAATTCCGACGAGGAAAATGTCATGTCCTTATAAATTGAATTGGGAGAATAGGTATCAAAGCACACCACCCTCAACGCCGACAACGCCGGCGGCAGCCTCATCCTCCGCGCCCCCACCTCCGGCGGCGGCGACG